TTTTTGTTACAATAGCCGTTACCTTCGTATTTATATATTTATATATGTATATTATTTATATTTATATTTATATATATATGTAATGTATATTTTTTCTAAGGATCCTGAATTTTATACATGTTCTAAAATTATTAATTGTAAAAATGAACTAATCAGACAAATATCAGAATTCTATTACGAAATATCGACAGAATAACACATAGGAAGAACCGCTAATGTTTGGTCCGTGCCGAAAAAACATACGACTTTAATATCATCATGAGTAGTGGCATAGCAGTTGATCATAGGTCTTTTTGTACTGCAGCATGTGTAGCAATGTTTTGTTTATTATTTTTGGTATCCAACTATTTACGAAACACTCAAATTGTCGAAAAATGTAACTTTGACTGTCCTCATCATTCAGCATTACGACCACCGCTACAGGATTATCCGCCTTTTCTAACGTACATATAAAATTTAACTTTATATTGTTTGCTTCATCATGTTCTTTTAATTGCTCCACTACTTTATCTGACATAATTGCTTCTTTCTCCAGAAGACTTAATTGAAGATCCAAAAGAGTTCTACCATTTTTCTTTCTATTGTACCACACACATTTATTCCCTGTGCAGTGAAACGTTACTTTTTGATAACTTTTGGTGTGTACATCAGATAATATTTCAACTTTTTGTTGCTTTGTTTCTTGATCGAGAAGTACCTCGACTTGCAACTTAAAAATCTTTTCAAAAATATCTCTTATTAGATTAAAAGTGATGAAATACCAATTATCTTTCTTGTATTGCTCTTTATTAGTAATATCTGTACGTGTATCGAAATTTTCTGGTAATCCAGCATGGAGAAAACGACCAGCCTTTATTACATTTCTGAAATTCTTCTTTTTCTTTTTCAACTGTTTCAATTGAGGAGGTACTGAAGTGAATAACATATTTATTAAATAATTGTAATTATTTTCACTAGCCGTTAAACAGACATCAGCGCTAAATTTGCAGCAATGTTGAAATGCTAATAATGCACGATCTGACGTATTTGCGGCTGTATTTTGATTAAGTTCGATTGGATCCTGCACACATACTGGCTTATAAATATCCAATTTCTTGGTATTATTATCCATTATGTAACTTTTATATCTGTCCATGTAATTGGGTAATTTATCTAACTGTGCGAAATCAGGCAATGAATATCTTTTTCCGTCCAATAAACATAGCACACATGCGGTAAAATTGAATTCACCGTAAAAAGTAAAGAAATTGTGAAGCAGTGTTGCAATATTACTGCTGTTGGTAATAGCTGGTAACACAGTATTTTCATCAAAATTTACTTGCCAGCCATTCAAAATCTGTGGGATACAATTTCTCTGAAGGTGTAGTAAAGGCGGAAGGAGACCAATCGATTCTTGCTGAAGGTAAAAAATAATTAGACATACTAATCCATAACTAGAAATTCTTCCACTACCCGAAATCCCGAAATGCCTCGCCCAATACTTGATGAGCAACATTAATGGTCTTAATCGAGGATCGCGTAATGCACAATACCGTAAAAAGTCACTTTTATAGATGCCTAGGCCATTTTTGAAGGAAATATCGCAGGAGACATTAGTCGGTATATAACGGAATTTTATAATAGGTGTTTTCGCTTTAGGGATTGATATTATGTTGGTAAATACAGATTTCAAATTATACATAACTCTTCTCACTTTCTTGAAAACCATTGTCGTCCATATATGCGATGGCATATCCGGTTTATAATAATTTGGCGGCAAACCTGAAACAGACACATTATTTAAATATGCGACTCATATACTATTCATGCAATAATAAAATTAGAAAATCTCTTACCGATTTTACCGACGTACATGTAGATATCTAAATCACTTTCTTTAAAGCTTAATTGCGCCACTGTTGAACCAAATCTGTATGTCCGACATTCTGGGAAAATCGATCTGAATATTTCATCCAAATGAGAGCAAATGACATTGTATCTTGTTGATAATTCAACTTCAGTAAGTTGTACTGCATTTAAAAGTGCTGCTAATTGGTTGTCAAATGTTACTTCGTTTTCAATAACATCTTTTATACGATCGTAACCTATTGGATCTTCTTCTTCTTCTTCAGTTTTATTCTCAAATCTTTTTTTTTTCCGAACAGTGTCATTTTGTTGTGACTCTGCTAAATTAGTAGGTTTTTGTAGTTGCGCTGCAATACAATGAGCGTGTATAAGTAATATTATTTTAAAATTATTAAGAGATATAATAATTGTATATCTTACTTTCACTTTTCTTCAGTCTTCTCATACATAATTTTTCATTTGGTAGCCAATTTGTTCTGCTCATTAAAATATTAGTAGGATTCCTGCAATGCAATAATAAAGCATATAAATGCAATATTTTACAGAATAATACCTTTATTCACATACTTCTAATTATTAATAATATTTGTGTTCTTTTTTTTCTTCTTAAATATAATGATTATTATAAACAAGAGAATAAATATTTATTCTAAAAATTAGGGAAAAAAAGAAAATAACTTATTGTATAGATTCCTAATATTTAAAAGAAAAGAACCAACGATAATAAATCTTTATTTTTACCGAGTAAAAAAATATAACTTCTATGTGTATAACTAAAAAAACTAATATTATTATGTAATCGCATTTATGTTCAAAAAAATAGAACAATATATAAATATTTGCAAAAACTAGATAGACGAAATTTTATTCTTGTATATTCTATCATAAATATTAATTATAAATTTTTATTACCTTTCAGTATATTCAATCCAAAAGAAATCTTGTCCAAAACGTTGTCTTTTAACTGTTCCAAATCGTCGAAAAAAATTTACTAACTCCATTGGCGAAAGAGTTTTTGGTAAAGGTGAAACACAAAGTGATCTTCCTGGTAAATAAGGTTGCTCTTCTTCAAATGATTTTTGTTCTGAATTTGTTACTTGATATTTTGAGCTCGTGGGGATCTGTTCACTTTTATGTTTGAAAGATTCAACATATGATTGAGAATTCATGTTTCAAAGTTGTGGAAATAATCGTAATTTTATATTTAGTTACGTTTCTTGTTTAATAAAGAAAGATTTTATTATTTTTAATTCAAATGTAATGTTTGACCATCAGCAGTAATCACTTTCAAAAAATATTTTGTTTCCACAAATCCTTTTGAATTTCCGGCACAAAGAACAACACCATTTTCAGATTCAAAAAATATTAAGCCATCTTCTTTTGCTTTTCCAAAATTCACATAAATAAAAAGTTCAGCGTTTTGACGTAAACCGTTGATAAAATTTAATCCCTTTGCAAAATGAATATGATTTCTTTTCATACGTGATAGACCTTCTGTTCTTATGTTTGGCCAGTACTTAAAATAGGTGCCATGAATTATATCGAAGTCTATGTGATCAAGTATTTTCAAACTCAATTCATTGATTTTGAATATAGAATGTCCTTGATTTGCTTTAATCTCTAAAATACCATTAATAATCTTAAGAGTAAATCTCTGTTTGTTATTTTCCTTTACTACTCTCTTGATATCGTCAGTAGTACACTGATGTAGTGATTTATTTAATAATTCATTAACTGCAACAAAACCATTTGGTTTAATATTTAAGCCTTCCTTTGTAGCGCCATGACGTAGTAGGTACGATAATCTTTTGCTGAGAGCAATATCACTTTTACTGTGAGTCTAAAAACAACATTAATAACATTTGTTAAAGATCATGAATTATACATTCAATTCTATTAATTAAATTATTACAAAGATTCTTTTTAAAAATGCAAATGCAAAGTTTTAAGCTCTTTATAGAATATATTCTTTACACAAAGTCTGTATAACAAGATAATTATTACTGTTATTATTATTATTATATTAATAATTTAAAAAATCTGTTAATATATTCATAAAATATATTAATAATTTAAAAAAATGCTTCTTGAAAAATATTTTTAATTGCCCTGCAAGCTTATTCCATAATTCCTCGCAGCAATGTTATGATTGTTGTATTATTGCTAGGTTTTTTTATTATATATACTATAACTTTATAATATAACTATAATGACACTGTTATTAAGACTTAATAATAAAACAGACTATTCTTTCAATTGCAATTTCAATAGTAATCATATATTAATATTTTCTTTTTTCTTTTTAGAGATTTACTAATAACTTACAATATTTAAAAAAAATAAAATGTTTAGTTATCTTTAACAGAAGTATGTAAGAAAAACTTTAAAATATATAAATTATAAGTGTAAAATAAAAGAAAGAAAAAAGATAAAAGTTAAAATATAGAACTAATAATGTCACATATATTAATGTGTCACATATATTAGATTTATCGACATTTAGATGTTCAACTTAATATTTGTTTTCTCCAAGCAGGACTGCATAGTTATTCGCTCAATCCAGTTATTAGCTCAATTTATACAGTCCTTCTAGCATACCAATGACGTTCAAATACAAATAATAATAAAAATAATAAATGTATGTTCCAAAGGCGAAGCAATTAAAAACAAATCATTATACATGCTCGCGTAGAAAAGTGCACACCAGAAACAGAATGATTTCTTATCTTAATTTTACATTACCACGACGTTAATACGAGCCAATATTTCTATAAAAAGTCCACAAATGTCTTTTCCATAATAAATAGTTACAACACGAATGTCTAACCTTTGAAAACATGAAATTAGCATAGCTCGCAATCCTCGTAACTTCCAAACTAATTGGTTTTCTTTACACTAATTTGAAGGTATATGTCTCATCTGAATTAACAGTGTTATACTCACAAATTTATAAAATTTTAGTTAATATAACGACAATAATGGCGTAATACTTCAACATACGCGTTGGCCGTGAAACAAATTATATCTACGCTTGTTACATCTATGCTCGAAAATGCTGTACCGACTGTATTATCGACTGTATTACCATGCGTTTTACTTCATTGATTTTCCTAATATCATTCCGAGGTTAAACACAAGATGGCATATGTGTAGAACACCCTCATTTTACAAGTAT